TTCTATCTGCCTTCATCTGTATCGAGATAAAATACACTGACAATATGCATTTAACTCCACTTCACCCTCCCAGTCAGTACAAGTCTAAAGCAGGACAAAAACTACAAGGGTAGCATTTATGATTTGCATCTTCTTAATATAGCTAATTTGACGAAGCCGCGTTCATATATATAGGGCTAACAAGTAGGTATATAGCTGCTCTTATCATTAAGCTATAGTGAGAAAAGAGAAGGGCACAGGATTATTCTTTATATTCATTATAGTTTATAGCCTCTAAATAAGTTAATAATACACATTTAAGGAATATATATTTCACTGAACCTCTATTAAACTGTCATTTGTTTTTTCCTCTATTTCCTGTCCTGTTATTGCTACTTTCCAAAAAGTGTGTGTGTAAATGGAAGCTCTCTCTTTCATACCCAGAGTTCTCTTCCTTCAGTAATGCCACTATAGGGCTCCTGATGTCAGGACTTCTTTCCTTGTACTGAATTCTGATATCAGGAACATTGGATTATGACATCATTGAATGAATCAGCTGGAAAGCTAATTACTGAAGAGGAAAGCTTCTAATTACACAGAAAATTAAAACTGAAAGAATATAATGCCATTGTATAGGTCATTTGTATATCCTCCGTTTGAACAATGGGTCCAGGTCTGGTTACCCTATTTCGTCTTCCATATGTAGAGAGGATGAAAGATTAAGACTAATCAGAGAAAAGATGAATAAGAGTATACATGACCAAGATACATAAAATAATTAATATGACATACAGGAGATCTTTTGGGCAGACCTTTTTATCTTTCTTATAAGGGCAAAGGGACATACAATGAAATTTAAGGCAACAAATTCAAAACTGCTCAAAGGATTATTACACTGTACATAATTAACATGTGGAATTTACTGCCACAAGATAGTATTTATTATTTATTACTATTAATTATTATTTATGTATTGATGTAACCATGGTAATGCCTAACAGCCTCATTTCGGGAAGACATGATCCCATGGAGTCATTTCCAAAGGGGTCTTCACCTCCATTCAAAAATTTTTAGGGGTCTGCAAATTAACAAATTTTGAAAAACACTGATTTATATGGACAATATGAACACTCACATCATGATAAAAAATTATAAGGGACATCAACCCTCCTGCTTTGTGGCATAAGCTAACCAGGGGGTTCAGACGAACTTTCCTCCTGGGCAGATTTTTACATAATAGTCCCATTATAGGACTTCTTGTACCTTTCTCTGAAGCATGTGATGCTTACCTCTGTTTGAGGCAGGATACTGGACTAGTCTAATCCAGTGTGAAAATTCCCATGTTTACCCATAAATTGTTCAGCAGCAACAATGGGAAAGTATAAATAAAAAGTACATGAAGCTGAGCTGAATTTTTAGTTTTGTTGTTGTTGTTTTTAATAAAAAGCCTGCCAGCGTGCATCAGAGTCTTTCAAACAATAGAGCAATACTTATTTTCAATTCAACTTTTTGAGCCATTTCCTCCATTCAGATAACTGGCTTTAGTGTGGGTGTAGAGGTATTGGTTGATACCCTGACCCCACTGAAGTCAATGGCAGTTTTGCCACTGACTTCAATGGAGCCAGAATTTCACCCATTGACTTTAGTGGAGTCACACTGAGGTAAACCAGTGTAAAGGACTGGAGAAAAAGGCCCTTCATATATATCCAGTGCTTGCTTTTGCAGAAGATGTACAATCAGGGTTTCACAAATAAAATAAATAGACTATTTACAAAGAGAGATGAAGACATAATATAGAGAGGCCATTATTTTGAGAGAGCAGAGATAGAAACCTAAAACCTGGAGGAAACTAAACCAATAATTTCATGTAAACATGTAGTAGGCACAAAGGCACTAACTAATTTGTCCAAGAAAAGCCATGAAGCCATTATCCTCATGCTGCTTGGGACAGGTGGCGAGACTCATAGGTGGATCAGAATTCAGGACCATTAAAGACACTGATATTTCAATAATATTCATAGTGATTTCTGTTTAGCTGGGTATTTTCAGTTAAATCAGTGGCAGGCCATGTCTTCATAAACATATGCATGCCTCCAGTGAAAGGTCAAAACTGCAGGCAACACTTTTTATTTGGAGTCTGAGCCTGGACCAAAAGCAAACCAGTCTCCAGTACAGTCGCAGTGTCATACCAGAAAACCATTAGCCCAGGGTTATACACTCCTAAATCCATCCGAATCAGAGTGTGCTCTAGTGGATGAGGGCAGGGAACAAGAAGATAAGATACAGGAACCTGGTCTACACTGAGGAAATGCCAGTTGAACTATCTCCATCAGCTTTAAGCAATTTAAAATCCAATTGGAGCCACAGAGTAGACCAGGCTCCAGGTAATCTGAACCATGTGGTTTTGAAATTGGATCAACTAAAACCAATTCAGGCTGCTTAAAGCAGGTCTATGCTATGTCTCTAACTGGTTTTAGAATAGGTTTAGCTGAACCATTAAAAAAACCAATTACAATCTTGGGGGATATTTTCCCTGTGTAGGACAGGCCCGGGATTTTCTTACAGGCCACTGATTCTGTCTGGGCAAGTCTCCTTACCTACTTCTCAAACTGGTAATCTCATACCTACTTCACAGGAGTATTATGAAGCTTAATGGAAGTTTGCAAAGCACTTTGAGATCTGCATAGGAAAGATGCTATATGAGTGAAAAGCATAGTATTGCTACTTATATTTATTAGTTAACCAAACATTGCCAGCAGAACAAGGAAAGCTCTTAGCATTCATTTGCACAAATTGATTAGTCTGATTCATAAATTGATTTTTAAAAATAAATCTTATATGGGAATGCCCCACCATCAACACAAAACTATTTGTTAATGCCTGGCGCTTTTAAAACTAGGCTGGACAAAACAACAGATAATCTATGGTAGAGAACAATCCTGCACTGGAAGGGAAGATGGACTGGATTATTTAATTACTTTTTTCCATGTCTTATTTCTATGATTAACAGTGTTCTAGCTATCAGTGAAGTCAGTATCAAAACTCCCATTGACTTCAATGGGAGTTTCAATACTGTAACTATTGGGGAGTGATTTTTCAGGTGCTCTCCTTGCTGGACAGAGCTAATGCTCCTTCACTGGCTGGTTCCCACTTGCAAACATCTTGGTTCAGAAGGGACAACTTCTTTTGAACCTGAAAAATCTTATTTTTGCAAATGAAAAAAAAAATACGTAGGTTTTGTACCATCTTCATCCTAAAATAAGAATTAATACTTAGCACTTATAGCACCTTCCACCCAACCATCTCAAAACAGAGAGAAAGGATGGTCTTGTACATACCACCCTGGACTAGCACAGGTGCAGTCCCTGGTTCTGGCATAGACGGGTTCTCTGCAAGCCATTTAATTTCTCTGTGCTTCAGTTCCTCATCTGTAAATTAGAGCCAATAAAACGTTTTATCTCCGGTCCTTTGTCTCTCTTGTCTATTTATGCCCCAACTCAGAAAAGCACTTAAGCATGTGCTTACTTTTAAGCAAATGCTTAACTCCCATGGACTTTAATGGGATTTATGCATGGGATTAAATGCTGTCCTGAACAGTGATGCTTTCCTGAAAGGGGCCTTAAACTGTAAACTCCTCAGGGCAGGCACTCTGACAATGTGTTTGTACAGCACATAACACAATGGAACCCAGATCTTGTTTGGGGCGTCAGAGTGCTACTGTAATGCAGGTAATAAAAAGAAACAAAGTGTTTGACAAACATTACTGGCTTAAGCCTCACAATACCCAGTAAATTAAGGAAATATGATCAGGCACCTTGACTTTACCCGAAGACTTAAGCCAACCACATCCCAATCCAGCAGGCTGGGAAGTGTTAGCTCTCTCTTTGTGTCTATTCACCCCCACTCCCACCCCGGGGATCCTCTTCCATCTCCCCCACAATTCTCTAATATTGCTTGCAAGGCCCTTTTTTTCTGCTTGGACACTATCAGCATCTCTGTGCAGAGCAAACGACACATCCACGCCAACAGTTTCTCCTTATTTCTTTAGCAAAACACTGATAAGTTTCCACACTCCAGGTCCAACTCCCGAGTTGCTCAGCCACCTTGGACTTTCACTGCGCTCCAGGAAAGTGGCGGGTGCTCAGCATCTCTCAGGATCGGGCTTTCCACCTGGCTTTCTTCTTTCCCCCACGCCTCCCTCTCCAAACCCCCCTCTCTCCTAAAGTCTAGTATATTTCAGTGGCGCGCCCTTCTCTCCCTCCCCAAATGTCTCTATTTATGGGTCCCCCGATGCCGCTAGATCTGCCATGCGTTTTCCTGCCCCACTTTATTCTGCAGCCACTTTAATCCTGAGCTTAAACACGACAAATCGTCTCCTGCTTCGCCAGGGGAACAAGCCCCTGTGCACGCTCATAGCTTGGGCACCTTGTCGGGCTGGGTGAGATCTCCCCGAGCTGCCTGCCTCCCCTTCTGGTTGGGTTTGGGGCTGGTCCCAGAAAGACCTCCCTGCTCTCTGTGCGCCCCCAACCCCGAGGTTTGCCTACATCCCCCAGCCCATCAGCGCTGGCTCCAGCCTCTGGGTCTCTTCCCAACACACCGCCCCCCCCCCCTTGCAGCTCCTTCCCCAGCCCAGTTGTTTATTCAGCGGCTGGGAGAGCGGCACGCGCCTGGCGCACGCACTTGCAACAACAAACCCGGGAGGGGTAGGGCTGGAGGGGAGAGGCGGGTGAATGAATTGGAGGCAGTGCGGGAAGGGGGGGGGCTGTTTCGAGCGGAGGCGGGGCGGGCCGGGGCCAGCGCGTGTGTGCGGGGCGCCCCGTGTGTTGTGGGTTTTTTCTCCCTCCTCCTAACCCCCCCGCGTTGAAAAGGCGGCCGTGCTCCCTGGCCACTCACTGCAAAGCCGGGGAGCGTGGACGGCGCAAGGTGCAGAGCGTGTGGGGAGGGGGAGGGCGGCGAGGGGTGGGGGGGGGACCCCCGCAGGGGGAGTGTGTGTTGGGGGGGGAAAGGGGGAGAGGCCGGCAAAGCCCCGGCCGCCCCTTATAAGAGACACAATCCCCAGCCGCTGGTTTGCAAAAGGGGCCTTTGCAAGGCAGGCAGCGCACACGCGAGCGCCACGAGCCTCCCCGCAGCCCGGTGCGCAGGGGGGCAGAGGAGGGGGGCAGAGAGGGAGAAAGCGCCGCGCTCTCTCCGTCCCCCTGCGAGTCCCGCCGCCGCCGCAGCAGCAGCAAGCGGCCGCCGCGCGCCAGCCAGCCCCGCGCGCCCCGTCTCGCTCGCCGCTGGCTGCCAATGGCCAGCGCCAGCCCTGCCAAGATGGACAGCAGCGCCAGCCAGTTCCTGCAGCCCGCCTGCTTCTTCGCCGCCGCCCAGAGCGTGCCGCCGCCGCCGCCGCCGCTGAGCCCGGCCGCCGGCCAGCCCTCGCCGGGCAGCAAGGCGGCGGCGCCAAAGCCCGTCAAGCGGCAGCGCTCGTCCTCCCCGGAGCTGATGCGCTGCAAGAGGCGGCTCAACTTCAGCGGCTTCGGCTACAGCCTCCCGCAGCAGCAGCCGGCGGCCGTGGCGCGGCGGAACGAGCGGGAGAGGAACCGGGTGAAGCTGGTGAACCTGGGCTTCGCCACCCTCAGGGAGCACGTCCCCAACGGGGCGGCCAACAAGAAGATGAGCAAAGTGGAGACGCTGCGCTCGGCCGTCGAGTACATCCGAGCCCTGCAGCAGCTGCTGGACGAGCACGACGCCGTCAGCGCCGCTTTCCAGGCCGGGGTGCTGTCCCCCACCATCTCCCCCAGCTACTCGCACGACATGAACTCCATGGCGGGCTCCCCCGTCTCCTCCTATTCCTCCGACGAAGGGTCCTACGACCCGCTGAGCCCCGAAGAGCAGGAGCTCCTGGATTTCACCAACTGGTTCTGAGCTCTGGCTGCAGCAGGTGGGTTTGGCTTCTGCGGGAGCCCTTCTCGGGGCGCTCCCGAGCAGCCGGGGGGATCCTTTATTACCGGGATCCCCAGCCTGGGGGTGGTATTGGGGAAGGGGGGGCTGTGCAGCCCTGGGTAGGGCTCAGTGAACACTCACGAAGCTGCAGATGAGCAGAATTCCCCCCGCCTAGATCTTGCAGCTGGTTGTACCTAAGAGCTACCTTGATGCTGACTCTCTCTCTCTTGTTTATTGTTACAGGACTGTTGCAAAAACAAAATACATTTTTTCCCCCAGAGGAAGGGAAAATACATAGCACACGAGGAGCTTGTATCGCCTCTCCAAGAACACTGAAGCACTCACTGCCTTTGCACTCCGGTCAGTTTCACAAGACCAAGATGGATTTGAAAGCTGCGGGGACCACGGCACGATGAAGCATGTGTCCTCAAAAACATGTGTCATCCTATCCATCTAAGGAAGAGCACTGCCTAGCCTCAACATAGAGAGGGGCTCTTCCCCCCCCCCCCCACAGTTGTAGCCCTTAAAGACTGGTGTTCATTACGCTATGGCCACAATTAGTTTCCTAACGTTTCTGGAGATTTTGAAATTAAACTATGCTGTACTCAAAGAACCCTCTAAAATCACCCCTCCCCCTCCCATCACTTTGACTTTTTCCTACCATTTTCATCATTGAATGCTTCCAATCCTTTTTTTGTGAATTTTTTATTATAAGAAAATCTATTTGTATCTATCCTAACCAGTTTGGGGATATATTAAGCTATTTTTGTACATAAGAGAGAAATTTATAGAGGTTTTTTGTACAAATGGTTTAAAATGTGTATATCTTGAGACTTTTTTAAAAAAAATATGTAATGCTTATTACCTCTTGATATTTAGATATGTAGTCAACATTACCTTTACCTTACAACTGCCATTTTTTGTATGTGGTTTTGTAAAGGACTTGGAATTCCTCCAGATGTACTTTAGCACCAATGTGTCTTACTTTATAGAAACTTTGTTAATGTATTAATAATGTTTATTAAACAATGTTCAAAGTGAACAAAGTTTATGCAGCTATTGTCCAAACACCAAAATGGTAGCCATTTGTTTTTATATGCTGCCTTTTAGAAAAAGGAAAAAAAAAAGGAAAAAAGCCCTTATATCACTGCCTTTTCTTACTGTTTTATTACAAACTTACAAAAGTCCTGTATAACCATGTTTTATACAAGCTAGTTTCGTAATAAAACCTTTTTTAAAATTAAAGTGATCAGCTGCCTATTGCATGTAATTTTATTTCTGCCATTGATAACTATGAATGTAAAGAGAAAAATGTTAAGTGCTAACATGTCAGAGATACGTTGCATATGGAGTATTTGTATGTATGCTGGATGTAACATATATATGCAAAGATACAGAGGTATTACAATTGTTTTCCTGCCCTTCTATGTTGCAAATGTGTATCTAAACCAAGAGGCTCGGGGGTGATTAATGGCTTCATTGTCCTTCGTGAAATCACTGCACATTAAAGAACTTCCTAAAAGAATGAACCCTAAAAAAGAGGGCGCTCCATCCCACAATTTCACTGCTCTGGCCGTCCCCTCGCCGCCTCCAATGAAACAGGGTAGAAGAAAATAGGAGGAAACGTATAGTTACAGCCACCGAAACAGACAAGCTACATTTTTGGTGGGCCTTTTATATATTTATTTTAGACAAGCAATCAATAACATCATTGGGGGAAGGGGGACTGTGGGGGGGGTAAAAAAACCCCAAGGTAGTAGAAATGACACTGATCTTCCTAAACTTGTTATTCTAGCCAAATAGCGTGATCTGAGTGTAAAAGTACCCAATTACCAAGATTCAAAAAGATTTTTTTTTGGCTAGCCTGCTTGTTGTCAGTTAGCAAGGACGTGACCAGAATTCGCCTCCCCCTTTTTCCCCCTCCTGCATTACTTGAAAATTCAGTTTGCGTGCATCAAGCCAAGCGGAAAGCAAAGCGCAAAATGCATCTTTAAAAAAACCCACCACAACCAACAAAAACTGGGATAGCCAGCAGCATGCCTTACAGAATTAAAAATCTAGCCTGATTTTGTACAGCTTTACCATTTATTTGCACGGGGCTAATTAAAAAAAAAACTTAAACAGAAAAAGTCATTGACTACGCCGGAATTTAATGTAATTTTTCCATTGCTGCATTGCTTTAAACATGAATTTCTATACATTCATTTCACCCCCGCCCCCTCAAAATTATCAATATGTTATTTAAGAGTGTGTGTGTGTGTGGTGGGGGGGGAAATCGCTAAATCCCTCATTACCTCAGAACAAACAGTCGTTGTTTTAACCAATCCTAGAACTAATGTTTAATTATGAAAATAATAACCGTTATAATGTCTCCAGCCATTCTCTCGCTAAAGGCACCTCAGCTTTTTATTTACCCACTTTTGCAAGTGTGTAGATAAGGTATGCAAAGAAAGTGTAGCGAGTAATTTATGGCTATGAATATAACATTAGGATAATGTTTCATTCTGTTACAAAGGCGAAATTTCTCTTCCTTGTGTAGACAGGTGTTCTTTTTTGCTCACTTCTGAATAGTAAATATCCAGACTCATTAAACTAAAGGCAAAGTTACGCTGTTATTTGCTACAGTGTATGAGGCAGACTCGGAAATTCATCCCTCTTCCTCCTCCCTCCCCCAGGCCTGAAAAAAAGAGAGCGAGAAAGAAAAAGACATACAAACACACAGTTTTACTGAAGATAGGAAAGGCCAAAGCAGGATTGGGGTAAATCTCATTACATCTGCTCTAATCGCTTAGCAACACAAAGCCTTTTCTTGTATGAGGAGGGAGAGCCATTCAGTGCACCCTGACAAGCAGTATTCAGTTAGCTTTAGTAAACTCCATAAATCAGTGGCTTCTATTGGTCGCAGTATAAGTTTTAAAGCTACAAAGGGCTATCAGAAAAAATAGAAAATGCAGATGGAGATTGCTGGGTCTTTGTTTTTAACGTTAGAAAGTGAGTTATTAACAAATTCATCTCACCTAAGTTTTTGATTTTGTTCCTCGGCGTAGCTAACTTCGAGTGTGCCTAAAAAGCGAAACACCATTTGTTGTAACTGGCTGATAGTGGTGAAGTGCGGGGGACTGAACAAGAGCCCTATGCCTGGCTCAGCGAATTTAGATACTACTTTAGACACGGGTTGAATATCTTCCTATAATGGTTCCGCGCGGTTCAAATTAGGACCTGTAACCCTCCTGGAGTAACGGTCGTCTCCCCACCCCACATAGCTGACTGTTCAAAACAAGTCATAGGACTTCTATTGCCAGAGCAAAGGACAAGCCTGGAGGATCATAACTTTTAAAGTTTGGGTTCCCCCTAAAAAGCCCCTTCCTTCTTCCATTGGGTTCATTGGGAATCTGGATCGTCCCTTTTGAAGATCTACATCTGGTCCTATCCTTCATTCCCTGGGCACTCAACATTTCCACTGCAGACAATGGGAACTTTGGGTGTAGACAAGGAACGTAGGACTGAATATTTTTCAGTTGCTGGTAAGCTCACTTCATCCTGTACGCATGGAATTGCTGTACCCTATATTGGCACGTCTCACTTAATTTGAGAAGTGATTCTGACTATTCATTTTCAGTCTACTCGCAGTATGTCGTAAGGTAGTCAATGTATATCACATCAAGGTATTTCATAAAGTAAAAGCAATGGCAGAAAAGTCCTTTACATGGTAGTATTAATTCTAAGATTAATCACATATTCACGTGGACCCATGATCTGAGGCAAACGACAAATAAGTGGCAATCTTCTGCAATACTTGTGTGTTCAGGGCTCTGTAATGGAAGCCCCTTTTTCCTTTCTCGAGGGGTGTTTTCCTGCCTTGCAAACTTTAGCAACAACAGTAGCAATGATATGCTCGAATACGAGCCAAGTGCTAAAAATGGAAGAATACTCAGCATCTCTTTATACGCGTGTTTTTTTTAAAAATAATAATGTTTCTATTACTTTTCAAAGTAATCACCCTTTCAAGGTACCTCCATCCCCTGCATTTATACCCTACAGTAGCAGATTCCCAGGAAAATGGGGGTGGGAATGGGAAAGAAAACTTTCCTCTTGATGCAGGTTTAAGTTATATTCTGTCTTTTGTATGCAAGATTAGATTGATACAAAAGAGGTTTTGTAGGTTAATGGCAGGAAGCGAGTTGTATTACAGAGCCCAGAGAGTGGGGAGCGCGTGTCAAGCTTAATGATTTATTCAAGCTATATACCATCCCCGCTTGTTCCCAGCGCTGATTGGCTGCAGGCATGCGTCCACTGTCAGATGCGCACGCCTTAGCCTCATACCGCACAAGCCCTGCCATTAAGATAACAGCAGTTTAAGGGTCGCTCAGTTACCTGATTATAAAAAAAAGTGTGTGTGTGTGTGGAGTAAAGGGTTTTTGCAGAATGCAAAAAAGCTGGGATCGTAAACACACCGGTAGTTTGCAGAGCCTTCTCCGATTATACTGTTGCTGCTGTTATCAGAAGTGGGACAATCAGCCTTGCAGAGAGCACCTACACTAAGCTCTGCCCTCATAAATAAGTAACTTGAAAGTGGTGGGAAGGTTCCTGCGGATTCTGCCTGGGCTTTTATTATTTATTTTCTTTTCGGGAAGGGGTGGGGGGAAGGAAAGTTCAAGGGGACACAAAAGAAACGCCACCTGCCAAATGCAAAAATCACGTCGGGAACACCCTTACTTCACACTGTGGGCAGCGCTGGAGGGATGAGCTGTATAATGCAGTGATTATTACTCAGTATATTCATGGATTAGCTTGCTTGAAATGCAGTGGATGGTTTCTTGTTCCCTCCCCTCCCCAATGTATCTTTAAATGTGAAGGTACCATTTCCTAGTTCTAATTCCCCAAGCATATCTAAGATCACACGGTTCCAGGAACTTCTTTCTGGAGCAATTAACAAGCCTGTTTTTACTATGTTAGCCAGTACAAATCCTGCTACAAAAGGCAAATGGTAAGTAAGCAGAGTAGCATGCCTTTTATTTTCAAGAGAGGTGGTTGTTTTTTCTTTGCCCCCAGACAGTGTATTTGCTGCTACTTTCCAGCATCCTATCAATAATCCCATGCAGGAGATTGCAAACAGAGGTTAGCCCATCGTTTCTATGCGCCTGAAGATTAATTTCTCTATGTACAACTCAACGGGCATAGTTATCTCTTTAACAGGGAAAACAGTTTGGCTCCATTGTCCGGTTGCCAGCACCGTCTTTTGAGAAAGGGAGCCTGGCTAGTCTTCTGACCAAACTCAAAGGTTAGTTAAAACACAAAAAACAGCTGAAAATCTTCATGAATAATGCTGCTCCCCTGAGCTCAGAGCAGTGCAAGCGCACATTTCAATGCCAGAGCATTTTGTTATGCTGCTCGCCTAAGTCAGAATTTCACAGAAAAGGCAGAGAAGAAAAGCGTCAACAATTAGGGGTCGCCTGTCAGAAAACATTAACGCCTTCCTCTCCCAGCCTGTCAAGCGTGCTGAAAATAAAAACTGCCATAGCGAATCGCACCTCCACCCTGAGAAGCACTGGGGGAAAGAGGGAGGGTTTTT